TTTTGCATAAGGCTTCTTTGACTTAGCATAATGTGTTTACATCTATCAAGGTTGTTACATATATCGGTATTATATACCTTTTTATTGCTGAGTTAAAGTCAGTTGTATAACTATGCTATAGTTTGCTTATCCACTTCCCTGTTGATAGACACCTAGTTGCCTGTTTTGGATGTTATGAATAGAGTTTCTATGAATATTCTCATGCAAGTCTTTTTGTGGACATATGTTTATATTTTTCTAAGAATGGAATCACTGGGACATAACAGGTATATGTTTAGTTGTCTGCTGATAACATATGGAATTAAGTTGATTTTTGTGTATTTACCTTTATTCTATGATTTTGCTAAATATATGATAAAATATTGCTAATTTACTTATTAGTTTTTTTCCCCTACCTTTAAAAAGTGTATTTCTGGCTCCACTTATGGTAATAATGAAGTACCCTCTATTGTACCTACCCTCCCAAAGATACAAATTATAAACCCTGGACAAACATATTTTTTTAATTTTTTTAAAGATTTTATTTATTTGACACAGAGAGAGAGACAGCAAGGGCAGGAACATAAGCAGGGGGAGTGGGAGAAGGAGAAGCAGGCTTCCAGCCAAGTAGGGAGCCCGAAGCAGGGCTCGATCCCAGGACCCTGGGATCATGACCTGAGCCAAAGGCAGACACCTAATGACTGAGCCACCCAGGTGCCCCATGGACAAAATATTTTTAAAAAACTATCCAAAAGTACTGGAAAGTGGCCCCAAACAGGCAGAAACTCAAAAAGAGAAGACATTTAGAAGAGATGACTAGCACTGGGTGAGTTTTTTCCATTTTTATGGTTTTTTTGTCTGAAAGCAGGCACCAGTCAACACCCTGTGGGAGGACCCACAGTCTTAACTGGCTTAAAGAACCCAAGGAGGGAGTTCAGGGCAACCACAGCAGCTAGGAAGTGACAGAGAATTCCTAGGAAGGAAAGAGATAAAAGAAAGGCCCCAAATGCTGCATATAAATTCTGCCCAAAACTCTGGCTGACTTCTGAATTTGGCATGCCTTTGGAAAACACCAAACATCTCAGCTACTAAAATGATTGGAACAAAAATTTCAACTGATGACAACCACAAGGAGACAGAGTTTAGACACAGTTTGAGCACAGCCTGATAAAACAAATAAACAAAAATCAACATTCTTCAGACAGACAAAATAGAATCCAGAGACTATATCATTTACAGTGTCCAGGATACAATCCAAAATTATTAGACATATGGAGAAACTGGAAAATGTGTCCCCTATTCACAAGAAAATGCAATCAATGGAGACAGACCCTGGGGTGATACAGATGTTGGAATTAGCTGACAAATTTTGAAAACAGTTAATGAAAATATACTTAAGGACATAAATAAAAATATGCTCATAATGAATGTACAGACAACATACATCATTGGAGAAATAGTAACTACAAAAGAAAACCAAATGTAATTTCTATTAATGAAAAATAAAATATCAGAAATAAAAAATTCACTGGATAGGCATACTAGTATATAGGAGGTGTATAGAGTATACAGGAGATCCCAGGGCCCTGGGATCATGAGCTGAGCAGAAGGCAGATGCTTAACGACTGAGCCACCCAGGTGCCCCTAAAAACTCTTAAAGAAACAACAATAGGGGCGCCTGGATGGCTCAATCAGTTAAGTGTCTGACTCTTGATTTTGGCTCAGGTCGTGATCTCAGGGTCGTGAGATCGAGCCCTTCGTAGGGCTCTGGCTTCACACTGGGCATGGAGCATGCTTAAGATTCTCTCTCCCTGTGCCCCTCCTCGCCTCCGCTTGCATGTGCTTGCGTGCAAGTTCTCTCTTTCTTTTTTTTTTATTTTTTTAAGATTTTATTTATTTATTTGACAGAGAGAGAGGGAACACAAGCAGGGGGAGTGGGAGAGGGAGAAGCAGGCCTCCCGCAGAGCAGAGAGCCCGACGAGGGGCTTGATCCCAAGACCCTGGTATCATGACCTGAGCCAAAGGCAGACGCTTAACAACTGAGCCACCCAGGCGCCTCCTCTCTTTCTAAAAAAAAAAAAAAGTAAATAAAAATAAATAAATAAATAAATAAATAAATAAATAAATAAATAAATAAAAGAAACAACAACAAAATACCCTAATAAAAAAATGGGCAAAGGACATGCTATGGTCTGAATGTGTGTGTCCCGCCAAAATTCTTATATTGCAATCCTAATACCCTGTGTGATGGTATTAGGAGGTGAAGTCTTCTGGGAGTGATTAGGTCATGAGGGTGGAGTCCTCATGAATAGGATTAGTGTCTTATAAAAGATCCTGGAGAGTTCCCTAGCCCCTTCTGCCATGTGAAGATAAGGAGAAATCTGCCACCTGGAAGAGAGCCCTCACCCAACCATGCCAGTGCCCTGATCACAGACTTCTAGCCTCTAGGACTGTGAGAAATAAGTTTCTTTTGTTTACCAGCCACTCAGTCTGTCGTATATTGTTAGTCTGAACAGACTAAGACAGACATAAAACATCATTTCACAAAAGAGAACACATACTGGCCAATAAACATATGAAGAAAGAAATCCCCAACTTTTCTTGAAGGAATGCAAAAAGAAACAATAAGATTCTTTTTTTTTTTTTTTAAGATTTTTATTTATTTATTCGAGAGAGAGAGAATGAGAGAGAGCACATGAGAGGGGTTAGGGTCAGAGGGAGAAGCAGGCTCCCCGCTGAGCAGGGAGCCCGATGCGGGACTCGATCCCGGGACTCCAGGATCATGACCTGAGCCGAAGGCAGTCGCTTAACCAACTGAGCCACCCAGGCGCCCGAATAAGATTCTTTCATCCAGTATGAGCAACCACTGTTTTTGGATGCTAGGGAGTGAACAAAACAGACAAAAATCCTAGAGATAGGAAACAGACAATAGAAAACAAACATAATAAACATATATAATATAATAAGGCAAAAGGTAGTAAATGGGAGAAGTTGAAATTTTGTTTATTCCTCTCAGTGAGTTTATCACTCTCTGAAATGACCTTGTTCATTACTGGGATCCAGCACCTAGAACAGTGTTTGGCACGTAGTAAGTTGAATGACTATATGAGAAAATGTTTTCTGACATTTTTAGAGAAATTCTTTCCTACCTTTTATTTTCATCTACCATCCATATATAATGGTATTATGTAAGTCCAGATAAAGTCAACACAGACAGAGTAAAGATATTGGAATGTTATTGGGGATCAAGAAGAAGTTGGGGACTAGAGTTGTGTAAGCATCATTGTCACCCGCGCCTCGAGGGCACCAATCTGTGGGAGTAAGGATCTCAGGATCTCCCCCTCTTGCACTGATGAGCCAGCCTACCTGGCTCACCTATTTCCTTTTTTCCATTCTTATCACCAGTTAACATATGAGATAATCTACTCATTTATAATTACTGTTATAAGTATTGTTTGCTCCCCACCTCACCCCATACCATTTTGAGTTTCATGAAGGCAAGGATCCTATTCTGTTATTTCTGGTACTGAATAGATACTCAACCAACAGTGCAATGAATGGATGAATGAATGAATGTCTCAAAAGAAAGAAAGGAATCTGGGAAGGTCTTGAATTCTCGCTCTTCCTCCAAGTCTTCCCAGGGTAAGGTCACCCCCTCCTTTGCACAGTCTACATTCCAAGACACCAGAGACAAAACCTCCACGAGGCATAAATATTTACTGGTTTGTTCATTCTTAGAATGGCTTTACACCTATATTTATACACCCATCCTTCTGTGTGCCCGGTGATGTTTTGTATGTGAACTCTTTGTTCGTTCTAGAGGATGCTTAAGGAGGAATTTAACTTAATATTTGTGACATCATGATAGGACAAAATCAGATCAAATTGAGCTCCATCCTCTAGTGGCTATTTCCTCTATAAGTGGAGACTACTTTTCCTCTTCCCTGAAGAAAAATCTGGTAGTTGTTTAAATACTGGATAAAGTTGAGCTCTTAAATTTATCATCAAGAAGGTACTGGAAAAGGGGGGGGGCAACAGAATACAAGAGCAGTAAAAGTACCACACGTTTGGAGGGAGTACCTACTTCAAAATTTTCCCAATTAGCCGCTTTCTCTCTTACTTTCGAGTTTTCTTAGGGTGATGAAATGAAAATATTCTGTTCTTGGTTATTTTTCACAAATCTTATTTTCTTCATGAAAACTTCCCAGCCCCTCAAAAAATCAACAGAGGGAAATTCTTTTAAAAATACAGTAAATCATGTTCTTGTCTTTGAAATAACTATGGTAGGAAGAGAAATTCTTCCCTTTAGTTTGAAGAGTCATGCTTTTAAGTTTTTTGGTGGTGGTTACATCTGATCTTCATATAAACTTGTATCTCTCTCGTTTAAAAGAAAAGATGAAAGAATGGAATTAGCTCATTAATTATTTAAAATACTTGGTGCAACTGTTCCTTATGAATTAATCCAGGCACTTGGAAGACAATTACACTCAGTGTTAATAACATTGCCAACCTTTTCCAGTATGCTGCACTCCAAATACTATTGTGTTTTCATTGACAACATTCACTATTACATATGCATATGAAAAACAGGCATTTTCATTGGAATTACCGTAATAGCATTAAGAGATTATTATTTTTTCCAATTTCCTTGGAAGAAAATTCACTCAAATTAGATTATTTATTACTTGACTGCTCTCCTATCTTGCCTGTATGTTTAGGTAACTAGAGTCCATGAAAGTATAAACTTCAGAATAAAAGGCATGATTTTATACATTAATGATTTCAAATAAAAGAGGAGTGCTAGTTTGTGCATCACTTCTTCCGAGAAAGTTAAGTCTGTGTTCTGCTTAGGAGAGATAACACTTTTTGTCCCTGTAGGTGGCCCCCCTGGTGTAGCCATTAGTTGCTAATTACTTGCAAACAAATAAACAATTAACTCCTCAAGCTGCTGGCTGGGCGAGTGTTCATTGACATGCTAAAACTTTCTAAAACAGGATTTTAATTCGTGACGTTCTAAATCCAGCCCCCTTGTCTGTGGAGCCAAAAGGTGAACTGCAGGAAGATCCCAGCCCTGTACACATGGGGTAGAGCCAGCCAGGAGGCAGGAGAGGCCAGAGCTGTCGTTCTGGGCAGCCCACTCGAGGATGGCTCCCAGTCTTCCGGAAAGTGCTCGGCTTGGGGAAAGCAAACCCTCGCCTTGCTCCTTTTCAATTGAGAGCATTTTAGGATTGGACCAGAAGAAAGACTGTGTTCCTTCAGTGAAACACCACAGACCGTGGGCAGACACCTGCAGCTCCTCAGGTACGCCACAATTTGTTTGTTTGTTTGTTTAATTCTTTGTTGTTTTCGTCTGCAGTCTTTATTTTGCCCTTTATTCCATACTACATCAAGTTAGAGAAAAACTGCAATTTCATCGAATTATATAAATGAAGTATCGGGGATTTTAATGCCTCCCGATGAGTTCCATAGGAAATAAAAAAGAATATCAGCCTTAGATCCAAGCGGGAATAAAGTTCATTCACAGAAAATGCCAAGAAGCTGCATTTATTTCAAAAGGTCTCTTTTATTTGACACATCACATATTCTATGTTTTCGCTGAAAAATAAATGACATTCAGAGATCAAAATGTTCTCTAGCACCAAGGCAGGATCTTTATTTTTGTTTGCTTTTTGGTTTTGGTTGATGAGAGGTCAGTTCTTTTGTGAAACCCAGAAGAATTCCAGTAGGAAAATTAAAGACAATTTCCTGATATTACTTCTTCTAGAACTTTGTGGAATACAGGATTGAACATCTAAGATGGAGTGTATTTTTCTGTTTTGTGTGTGTGTGTGTGTGTGTGTTTTTTAAACAGTCTCAGGAACCGATTTATTTCTTCATTGCAGGGGGTTTCTAATTATTTTTCTGTTTTTAGGGAAAGATGTTAACCTATGTGTGCATATCCCGAGCCTTTCTAATGGGGTCTCATTCCCTTGTACTGTGGATCACCCAGTACCAGAAGAAAGATTTTTGAAATACGAAAATTACTTTTCAGCCTCAGAAGGACTGTCTTTGAAAAGAGAACTGAGTTGGTATAGAGGCCGGAGACCCAGAACTGCTTTTACTCAAAACCAGGTGGGAAGTTTTTTTCAACTAGTAATGATAATATAAAGGCTTTAACTGACACCCTATTGAGCAAAAGCCCAATCACTTTGGGATCGCAGTTTAGAAGCCTTGTTAATGAAAAATAGGCTGTACGGAGTTGTTTTTTTTTAAAAAAACAGTTTCTGTATAGTCACTCTTTTAAAAAGGCATACATAAATTAATTGCCTAAGATCTAAGTGCAATTATATGTAAGCTAAAGTCCATTTTATGATGACATACCAAATATCAACATTTTATGTAACTATTTCCTTATTCTTAGATTGAAGTGTTGGAAAACGTCTTTAGAGTTAACTGCTACCCGGGCATTGATATCAGAGAAGACTTAGCTCGAAAATTGAATCTAGAGGAAGACAGAATCCAGGTAATTTTCAAATTTAGTTGTTACTTGTGATGATTGAAATGTTAAGAATAATAAAATAATGTTTCTGAGATCTATTTTATTTTTCCTTAATTTTAGATCTGGTTCCAAAATCGGCGTGCAAAGCTGAAAAGGTCCCATAGAGAATCACAGTTTCTAATGGCGAAAAAAAATTTCAACACAAATCTCCTGGAATAGATAGAAACTAAATACGTGAGATTATCTTACAATTGCAGAACATGAAGAATCAATGGAAATATCAAGTGTTAAAAACATGTTTTCTTTTCTGCATTTAATCTAAGTGTTGTCATTTTTTCCCTAAAATATATTGTAAATATTTACTGTTATAATATGGTACCTATTATACTTGGCACTTTTAGTTACAATAAAGGCCTTTCCTATATATTTTAACAAAATTTTCATAAAAAGCCAGCTATTTTTTAAGTGAGCAAATTTAATCTAATTAATTAGTTCGTTAAAACTCATGACTAGGTGATTCCACAAGCTGGATTCAATTTGCAAAATAATTCAAGTAAAATAATCTGAAGAACAGCACAAAGATCTGATCTGTTTCAATTACTTTTCTTCAAGTGCATTTTGAAACATGATTATTAGGTTCTCTTAATTTCTGGCATGAAGCAGTGAAAATTTCTCACCATCAATACAAATCCTTCTAGCATGCTAGTTTCAAGTTTGTTTGTTTGTTTTAAGCAAAATCATAACGGCAAGGTAGAGATAGAAAGGTATCAGTTGTCATATTCATATATATTATATTGCAAAAAGACTCAAACTGGAAATAAATGCAAATTTTTAAAATATTTCCTAGTTATTTAATGTTGTGTTTTATTTTCATTCATTAAAGTAATAATGATCATCTGGCTTGTATCTATTTCTAGTTTAGTGATTTCCAATCAACTGCATATTTTGTTATTACAGTAAATCGTCGACGGAGAAGGTAGGGTAACTGAGCTGCCCTTTGTATGTGCTGTGACGTAGTTGCTGGATATAATCAGGGCACTTTTTTGGGACAAAAACTATGTATTTTCCTTGCATTTGCCATTGTACCTGCCAATTAAAGATGAGAACAGGTAAGATGCATCACAAGAAGGAAATCCTACCACTGGATGTCTGGTTATTTGTTTTCTAGTTAATTAGTGGAAGGCCCAAGTGGCTATTCTTTTTGAGATGTTTGCTTGAGGACTTTGACTTGGTCTCCTGGAAACTGTATTTCAGCTGTGCGCATTGAGTTGAATTCTCCCTTCCCTTTATCTTTCCTGCTCCTCTATCCTCTTCTCTCCCAGTTTAAGGTTCTTGTGGAATTACTGAATCTCTACCCACTCTAAACATTTTTGTTTACTTGTTTGTTTGCATGAGAAAGAGGAGGAGTTTGCATTTTACCACTGAGGAAAAGCGATGTGACTCAGATTTTAGAGCTTTTAAAAAATCATTTGGGGAGATAGAGAGCTCTGTGTCCCAACTGCTGGCCAGCAATAGACTGGTTGGTTGTATTCTGTTCCACGATTGCTGAGACGGAGAGCAAGGAGGAAAAGAACAGCAGGGCAGCAAACGGAAAACCAGAGTCACTAAATGTTTTCCAAGGATATCTACTGTCAGACTGGGCCATTTTTTCCAGTATAAAGAGCTGCTTTCACTAATATAAAATTTTAAGCACTATTTATGAAATATATTAGTAAAAATTGGTCCACCAGGAGCTTTCTTTGCTCTTCATTAGGTGAGTGAAGTTATATTAAGTTGGAGGACTGGAAGTCACCAGGAGCCGGTGGGAGGGGAAAGTATCACGTGATGGATAGGCTTCTTCAAATAGTCTTGTTTTTATCTCCAAGGTCATATTTACATATTGTAAACAAGTCAAGTAGTATAGAAATAAAGGCAACTCTCCCTCAAACCTCATCCTTCACAGATAACCATCATTAAGCATTTCTATCAATCTTTTTGTATATGAAAGCATGTACATATGCACACATATGTATGTGCACATGTATATATTTGTTGGTTTTGATGTTGTTATTTTCTTAAATGTCATCACATTTGACATTCTGTGCATCTTTCTGACATCTTGCCATGTCAGACATCTAACTATTTCCTTTCTAAAGTTTGCTTAGTTTAGGATAGGATTTTAAGTCCTGTACATAACAAGCTATTCCACAATATTAATATTTAGGTATTCTTGAAGTAGTAATTTTCACAAATCTCCATTTTTCAGAGAGTCATCATAGTTTATCTAGAATTTATCTGAAATTGAACCTAACCTCTAAATTTCTGAGGAGTGGGAGGATTCTGTATAAAATGATAGACTTTGGAAAAAAATGAAACAACATTACAAACAACTAGTAATGCACTTAAATTTGTTTTTTAGTTATAAAAACTGATCATACCTATAAAAAGTATGGGGAGGAAAGAAGCATAGTAACTCTAGAATAACATTATCTCAGTATTTTCCAGTGACAATTTAACGTAACTGATTTATGCGAGCCTAAAATCCAATTTTATCTATAATTGAAATAAGTTGTGTTTACAACTGAAGTTATATATTTATAACTGAAATCATTTATAATGGAAATGATGCATCTATAACAAACAAATAACATTTGGAAGTCAGAAAAACTTAAATAATACTAGAATTTTTTTTTTATTTAAAGATTTTATTTATTTATTTGACAGAGAGAAAGACCGCGAGAGAGGGAACAGAAGCAGGGGGAGTGGGAGAGGGAGAAGCAGGCCTCCTGCCAAGCAGGGAGCCTGATGCAGAGCTCAATCCCAGGACCCTGGGATCATGACCTGAGCTGAAGGCAGACGCTCAACGACCGAGCCACCCAAGCGCCCCAAATAATACTAGAATTTGTGATATTAAAGAAGTAACTATGGGGGCGCCTGGGTGGCTCAGTTGGTTAAGCAACTGCCTTCGGCTCAGGTCATGATCCTGGAGTCCCCGGGATCAAGTCCCGCGTCGGGCTCCCTGCTCAGCAGGGAGTCTGCTTCTCCCTCTGACCCTCCTCCCTCTCATGCTGTCTCTCTCTATCTCATTCTCTCTCTCAAATAAATAAATAAAATCTTTAAAAAAAAAAAGTAACTATGAATGTAATATGCACATGCTTTTATATTTTCAACCTTACATCATTAAATATTGTAAAGTGAGTCTGTAATATATAAGAATATTCAAGAAACAAGATCATCTGTAAGATCATTAGTGTATTTCCCAAAATCATTTCCAAAACTTAAAAAATAGAGGCTGATCTTGTTAAAGGAAATAATGAGTCAGTAACTTTTTTTTAGCAATTACAACTGTTAGTCATTTGGAGTGACTATAATGATATTCAGGGAAAAAAACTGGACTTTAACTTCGAGGAAAAAGCAAGCAAGATGGAAATGGAAATGAAAACCCAAGATAGAATTATCTTTCCCCCAAAACACACAGGCTCTAATCCACAGCTTATCTTTGCTCCTGGTAATTCCAAGCCATTGTCTCCATTAAGGCCCAGGACAAGGTGAACAGTAGTAACAAATCAAACTAATGCAGTCAGGCTAATACCTAGAGCGTCTCTATTATCTGACGACTGCCTAAATAAGGTTATTTGGTCTCCTGTAATGGTATTTGTCTCTTGTGAAGGCAGCCAGACAAAGCCCATGGCTAGAGAGTGCTGGTGGAAACAATGGCTGTGTGTGTTGGTGGTCACCTTTTGAGTTAATCAGTGTTAATAGCTGCTTTCACTCCCTGCATCTTATCACACATCGCACAAATAGCATAAATCCCCCATTACAGAACCCAACACACAGCATCAACGCGGGGCCTTGTCTTTACTTCCAAAGGCAGGAATCTGGGTGCTAGTCCTTTTACTTGATGTGGAACACAAATCAAAGTATGACACGGCAACTTGGCTATCTTCATTTCACTGAGCCCCATGAGACTGAACACCCTTTATGTACCTTCGGCTAAATTTAAAGCTCATTTTAAATATTCTGTCTCCTGCTGGGGGAGCAGTCCACAGGAGCCGAGCAGCCAAGGAAGCTCTGGATGGCTCCCTCCTCTCCACGACTCATTAGTCTCACTCCTTCCCACTTTTCCTCTCTCTTGTTTTCTTATTCCCACCCTTTTCCTTTTCCCCAGCGAATGCCTTGGGAAACTTGTTGGTGTCAACAAGAATTATTGAGTCCCACAAATGAACCTCCAGCCTAAACAGTTTATTGCTTACCTTCCATCTAGTAAAGAGTTCCCAACATTTAGGAACTTCATGTCTGTTTTCTTCTTCCAGGCATCTTCGGATGGCCCACTGGGCATCTCCTTTATTTAGCATTTTATGACTGGGTGATTTCAGTGAAGCAAATGATACTATAGTTTGTGCTCTACTTACTACATTGTAAGTTTGCAAAGAAACATGTACCTGTTATAGCTGGTGTTGGTCAAGAAATTGACTAACTGATTTTGTAGGGCACAACCCCTATTTGATGGTGTGTGGAGCCATCAACACTGCTCTTCCTTGAGTTCTCTAGTTCAGTCAAGTCATCAGTCAAAAAGTACTCATTGGGGGCGCCTGGGTGGCTCAGTCGTTAAGCATCTGCCTTTGGCTCAGGTCATGATCCCAGGGTCCTGGGATTGAGCCCCGCTTCGGGCTCCCTGCTTGGCAGGAAGCCTGCTTCTCCCTCTCCCACTCCCTCTGCTTGTGTTCCCTCTCTTGCTGTGTCTCTCTCTATCAAATAAATAAATAAAATCTTTAAAAAAAAATCTAAAAAAAAGTAGTCCCTGGAGGCAGCCTAGCAATGTACTCAAGAGGTTGGGCTGAAGTCTGGTCACCTGGGTTCAAACCCCAATAGGTATTTGACTCTGGGCCAGTTATTCAACCTTTTTGAGCCTTGGTTTCCTCATCTATAAAATGGGAATAAAAAAGGACCTATTTCGTAGAATCACTGGGGGACTGAAATGAGATAATGGATAAGGCTTAGACTAATGCCTGGCACATATAAAACACTCAGAAAATGTTCACACTTATTATAATCATGTGCTGGGGAATATAGAAGTAGTAAAGAAAGTTGCCTAGAACAGTGTTGTCATGTCTGGAATATCATGTGGCATATAGTGGGTTCTCAATCAGCAGTCAGAGAACAAATGAAAACAGTTCTTGGTCTCTAGGAGCTCACCATATGGTGGAGGGAAACTGTTGAACTGTTTAACAGTTATTCAACAAATATTTGTTCAGTGTCTGCCATGAGCCAATCACTCTGTGAGACTCTGGGGATGGAGTGGTGAACAAGTTAAACAAGGTTTCTGCTGTTTTGGGACTTACTACACCCAATGTCTAACAAAGTCATGGCAAATAGTTGACCTATAATAGATGGTGAATGAATGAATGAATGAATGAAATAGTAAGAAAATAACACATGGAAGCATATAATTTTTTAAATTTTTTTATTATGTTATGTTAATCACCATATATTACATCATTAGTTTTTGATGTAGTGTTCCATGATTCATTGTTTGCATATAACACCCAGTGCTCCATGCAGAATGTGCCCTCTTTAATATCC